TTCACATTATAACTTGATTTATAAAACATTAAATGGGCGTTTTAACGTTTACTAACATTTTTTCAAACTATTACTCCCTAAATATCTAAATATATATATATATATATATATATATATACTTATACTGCTTGATTTCTCTAAAGCTTTCGATTCCATTATCCATTCCATCCTTTTCAACAAACTAAAATCATTATCCTTCTCCAATAGTTCCATCTCTTGGTTCCAGTCTTTCCTCTCACAACGAACCCAAGCAGTTTCCATACCTAATCAACCTCTATCTGCCTACCTTCCTTTATCCTCAGGAGTTGCACAGGGTTCAAGCATGTCTCCTCTTCTTTTCAGTTCTTATATTAATGACCTAAATGATTCAATTATCCATTGTTCCCACCACCTTTATGCCGACGATTCTCAAATCTATTTATCCTTTTCTCCTGCTGAGTTATTGGTGGCATTTGCCAAAATTCAAGAAGATTTAGATCGAATTAGTGCCTGGGCCAACTTAAATGGATTAAGGCTAAATGCTGCCAAAACTCAGGCCATTCTCATTGGTTCCAAGCCCCTTCTTAGATCCCACACCAACTTTCCCTCACTCTATCTAAACAACCACCCCATCACCTTCTATCCCTTTGTTAAAAATTTAGGCTTTCTCATAGATCAAACCCTTTCCTGGAATCACCATATCTCTCATATATCCCGCCGTGCAATTTCTACCCTCAAACTATTCCATCACTTCCGCCATCTTCTACCCCAAAATACCCGTAGACTCATAGTTTCCTCTCTCATCTTTCCCCACTTTGACTAAAGCTGTGTGGTGTACGATGGCCTCTCGGTGGAACTGCGTGATAGACTCAAAAGACTTATGAATTGTTTCGTAAGATTTGTAATTGGAACCCCGAGACGCTCGCGTGTCTCTCACCACTACACTGAGTTAGGGTGGCTCTTCCCCTCCTTAAGAAGACAATATTTCCTTGGCACTTTCCTTTATCAAATCATTACCGACCATCGTCCTTCTTATGCCTACAACCTTCTCCAATTTAAGTCCTCAATCCATTCACTCACTACAAGATCCCGACCCTCTGACCTATACATCCCTTCTCATAGATCTGCCTCATTCCAAAATTCCTTTATAGCCCGCTCTGTCAACTTTTGGAATTCCCTCCCGATCAAAATTCGACATGCCCCTTCCCTGTATACATTCAAAAACCTCCTATTCCAATTCCTGTTCCAAAAACAGTCTGATACCAGCTAACTATTGATATTATATATGTATTGTGTAGCAATCATATAATCATAACACTTGGTAAGAGATAGTACATGCATTTCCTACTATCGACGTAGGAATTTCAATACATATATTTTTTTTTTTTTTTTTTATTCAATTATAAGTAACTGTTTATTGTTATATATATATTCAAGTAAAATTTTTTTTTTTTTATGAAATGAACTCATTGTATCTCTTTTTCGTTCTTCATTTCTCAAAGTGTATGTTTATGTTGTTCAACCCTTAAATATAATTTTGTTCATAGTTCAAGTGATTCGTTCATAGTTTTAATTGTTTTGTTCATAATTTTAAATGCTCTGTACATAGTTTTATCTGTTTGTATATAGCTTGTGCACCTAAGGTTTTCTTTACTTTTTATTTTATTTTATCAATTTTATTTATTGTTTCAACGTTCAGGCCAGTAATATTCTATTATTTTGTACATTATTGTTATTCTGAAGGGACTTAGTCCCAGAATAAAGTTTTTTGTTCTATCTATCTATCTATCTATATATATATATATATATATATATATATATATATATATATATATATATATATATATATATATATATATATATATATATATATATATATATATATTACAAAATAGAATTACAACATTATAAAAAAAAAGGCTCATGGTGTCGGCTTATTGGTAGAAGTCATATTTTTGATGGAGCAGAATTTTCAAGAACGTTTTTGTGAATTTGGAACTAATTTATCGATGAATAATTATGTATGTTCAATAAAATGACACACACATTTATATATCAATTATCCATTTATATTTATCAATCCATTTATATTCCAATATCTTAAGGAATATAGGGAATCGCTCTCTATTGCAACTTTTTTTTTTTTTTTTTTTTTTTTTTTTTTTTTTTTTTTTTTTTTTTTTTTTTTTTTTTGGGTCCTTCCCTTCCTCGCCGTTAAGGCTATACGGGATTTTCCCGGGCCAGGGAGTGTGGGCGGGGATTTAAAAGACTCCCCCGGCACCGGGACGCGAACTCGTGACTATTTTTATATCTTTGTATTCATATGTCAGGTTGCCAGGCAACGGCGGTGCAGTGCACACGCTTTAGCCCATTCGGCTACCCCGCCCACATCTCTCTATTGCAACTATCATCTTTAGGAAAAATACACTATTACATTTTACTTTTCAACCGGAAACCATTCCAATTCACTTATCCTATCAATGTCCTCCCCCCCTCCTCCCAGTTACCTGGTCTATGCAGATTAAAAAATGATTTGTGAGAAAATAGTTTAAAATTTCCTCGTTATGTCGAATGGTGGGGGCAGATCAGAAGATCTAAAAGATAACATTTAATCCATACAACCGCCGGTTCACTCAGCCCATACCAGCACAGATAATCAGAGACAACATATGCTCCTAGCGCGCCATCAAGGTAAAAAAAGAAATGCTTTGAGCCGGAATAAAATAGTAAGCTGTTTTTACACAATTCATATAACCTACAAATTCAATTAAATATAGCCCAGAGCATAAAAAAGTACAATGTTGCCTATTGCGAGCTTTTGAAAAATTTGTAAAGTTTCCTGTACCTTGATTTTTAAAAATAAGAGTGGTTTGTTTTGACCTTAAATTGATCTGCTGAAAAAAAAATCGCTAACCTTCGTGCGTATTCTTCAAGTACCTGTCAAATTCAGCTGTCATTCACCTGTCAAGTACCTGTAAGGCTATTCACTTCAGTTTTTTAGATATTTTTTTTAATCTAAATAAATTGTGTCACAATCATTATATTTAATAACAAGTCTAATAGACCTGTGGGGTATTTTTTTGAAGTGAAAACTACTTTAGGAGCGTTTTGCACTTTTTGTGGAGAGTGAATTAGACTGAGCCGTCAGATCTCTGATGTGTAACGCTCCGGTAAAGTCGGATGGAGTCGACTAATTGAAGTGTTTTTGCATAAGGATTAAAATCGGGAAATCGTTCAGCATTTCTTACTCTCTGTAATGGATTATTCAAAATTGTATCTTAACACGACGCAGTGTTAGGAAGGCGAAAAGGAAACGATACTGTCTAAAACCAAATTATAACGAGTTTTATTGAAGATATGGATTGATATTTAAATCAGAAACTAAAAATAGGACCTGCATACTGTAAGCGAGGAAATTTTTCAACATTCCATCCTCTTTATGATGAGCTATCATTCATGATTTATATTTTATATTATTAATCTTGCCTTGTTCTATCGTGTGGTCTAAAGCACTCACTTTAGTTTTTTATTCATTGTTAAATATATATATATATATATATATATATATATATATATATATATATATATATATATATATTATCCCAAAATCATACTGAATCAACGAATACAAACTTAGAAGAATAAAAACGAATAAGAAAACTCTCTATTATATAAAAAAGTTTTTTGTGACCGAGTTATATTTTATTTTACACATACAAAGCGGGACGGACCATAAATAAGACACAACACTTATTACTCCCAGAATTATTTATCCTTTATTATGGTTCAAATTGTCACTAAGAATAATCATAATTATATAATAATATAAATAGGCAATAAGGCGTAGAAGTATAATATAATTATTAAATAAATTAAAAAATTGTCCAAACTTTGTTTGGACGGCTTCGTTCCGTTAATATTAAAATGCGTTAAAAAATAATGGAATATGAACTATTGAATACATGTAAATTGATATTAAACAATTTAAGCAAAGAGTAATACAATTAAATGAACAGTTGTATAATTTGTAAAATGGGGGCTGATTCGCTGTTAGGTGGACAGTTTCTACTATTTAGTATTATATTAATCATGTAAACACTGGATGTGAGTACAAATAACCAAGTCCCTCAAAATGTTGTGTATGCGTATGTGTTTGTGTGCGTGTGTGTGTCTGTGTTAACAGTCTAGCTCAGAAACTAAAAGTCGTACGAAAGTGAAATTGTATATTTAAGGTTTGTATATACTAGGGATGATACAGAAACATTTTCGTCAAAATCGAACGACCGGAAGTGACAATATATTATGAGTTAATCAAATTTTTACAATTTTCTCGGAAACGGCTCTAACGATTTTAAATTCAATATATCAGTGTAAAATTAAGCAGTTTCAAATAAAATGTAGTTTTTTATTCTGATTGATGTTCTTTAACAGGGCTTAAATGGCCAATTTTCAATATTAGCTTCCTTTAAAGTACCTTCAATATTTTTTGTTTGAAAAAATTGACAATTTCACATTAATTTGTAATATGAAAAATAGTTAAATATAAAATATGTAAGATTTTGGTAATTAGCTAACGGATAAATAAGAAATCGTAACGGAGAATAGTTGTAATTGAGAAACCAAGACGATCGCACCCATGTTCTGACGAAAGATAGAACACGCTTCCATACGTATCATGAGATTAATATAATAAAGACTCCGACAATATTATATAAATATACATATGTGGCTTTCATAAATGCTATTGTTGGTATTGATATTTAATTGTATAGGTTACAGTGATATAAATATAAAAATTGTATATATGAGGATACTTATACAAATAAAAATACTCACAATTAAATATAAATAAATATAGACTCTATAATTTTTACTTTCCCTTCGCTTTGACTGAAATTACTTATTTCTGCTAAGAAGAGGGTGGAAAATGAAAGTTGTGTTATGCGGGCACCGCACCAGATTTTTTATATCCTTTGAATATTTTTATATACTCTTGATACTTTATAAATGATTTATTGTACCTCTATCATTATTTTTGGTATGTCTTCATTTTGTATAGGCTTCAGTGAAGAGGAGTTTAATATAGCAATGTACTCCGATGCGTAATTGTAGTGTGGGAACTGGAGTAAGCTGATTGCCAGGAGTGTAGATACATATGATTCAGATTCTTCAGTACTAAAGTTCCTTCCAAGTGTTCTGTAATATAGGAAAATTCATTTTAAATAAAAATACAAATATACTCATAACACTGATAAATCGAAGTGAAACAATAATTTTTTTGAAGTTAATATCGGTACTATTAGTGCAAAAATTCGTACGTATAAATTTGTATTATTATGCTCTATGTATTAAAGGTGACATTTTGTAGTTTACAATTGCTATAAGTAGTTAGTACTCACATTGTAATTGTACCATATCACTTATGGTATCTTTATATTTCCACAATTTCATTCTTTAATAAATTGTACCATTTCAATATCAACAAATTTTTTACTTATTATTTATTTTACTCTGTAATAATTAACATGTATTTTTTGTATCTTTAATAGCCCTGAAGAATACTAACAACGAAGTTCGAAACGTTGGACAATGCAATAAATATACTGTTTTCATTTATATGCACTCAGCTCTATTGCATCTTTGTTGATTCTATCTAACCATCTACTTTTTGGTCGTTTGCCTTTTCTATCCACGTGGTATTTTGCTTTCTATCGACGCATTCATTGTTACGTAGAGGTTTCCAGATGGATTCCTACGAGCTACATGCCTCGCCAATCTTAATCTTCGTGCCTTCATGTCTTGTGATATTGATTGATCAGTTTCTGTAAGCAGTTCATTATTGATCTTTCTTCTCCATGTATTAGTACTCTGATCCCAGATCGCTCCGGTTATCGTGAGGAGGATTTTTCTCCCAAATCTTTCAATAGTCTTTTCTAGGGTTCTGTTTAGTGTCCAGGTCTCATAGCCATTCGTTAGAACTTGCTTCATCATAGCACTGTACACCCTTAGTTTGAGATTTTTAATACCTATAAAGGGAGAAGAATGCTCTGTTTTCGTTAGTCTATAATACACATTGATCTATTTTTGCTCGGTGATCATTCATTGAGGTTATTGTGGAGCCCACGTATTTTTCTACTCTAGGATGTGATTTTCCTTCTATGTAAATCATGTTATTGGGGTGGAATTTTGGGCTTATTATCATATATATGCTGTTTTTTCTTCATTTACTTGTAGGCCAGTCTGCTCTACCTCTCTTATCAGAGTCTTAGCGAGTTTCTCAATAACCTCTTGATTACTTCTTCAGGCTTCAGATATTTCTCTTTGTATTAGGCTTCTACTCTTCGGGTCATTTGTACATGCCTTTCAGTCATGAAACTCTTAGTTCCAAAGACAGCTCCTATCCAAAGAATCATAGGCTGCTTTGAAATCGATATATTTGTCACTCCTATTGGACGGGGACTTCGTGAGCTACTTCCCATCGTTTTTCGAGTACTTCTATCAGGAAGAAGAACTGGTCTAGCGTGTTCTTCTGAATCCAGCTTGGTGGTTGCCAATTATGCTCTCGTAATACAGATATATCCGGTTTAGTTTGATAATGGTCATTATCTCGTAGGCAACAGAAGGAATGCTATGCCTCTGTAATTACTACACTCATACATGAAGCCTTTTTTTAGGATAGAAAATATTAGATCGATCTGCTATGACTCTCTTATCAGAGTCTTAGCGAGTTTTTCAATGTCTTCTTGATTACTTCCAAGGACATCTATATCATCAGCGTATCCAAGGATTTTATGATTCATTCGGGCTTGGACCTTTCCATTTTCCTGTGATATTGTTCTTACTACCTTCTCCAGGGCTAAGTTGAGCAACATCGATGATATTCTATCTCCCTGCCGTAAACCCGTTCGAACTTTGAAGGCTTCAGATACATCTCAGATACGTAGTAGGACTCTGTAATGAATAAATGTACTATTATACAACATAGTCTTTTATATTATGATCGGACTCTTGACTAAATTATTTTGAAATAACAACCATCTCCATACCATTCCTTATTTTTAAGTTATATTATTTTATTTATGAAGAGAAGAATAGTTGGGGTGGTCAGTCAAAAAGGAAGGCAAAAATAAATGATAATATTTATTTTTACATATGCCGTTAGAGATGACGCCACCTACACATCTCTTCTCTCTTCCCCTCCCTTGTAACGACTTTTATTCTCCATGCAACACTTAAGGAGACAGGTAGTACTTCTTTTATTTCTTTCTTATTTCAGCTTTCTCAATTTCTTCCCTCCTTCCTTTCATTCTTTTTCTCTGTTTTTAACTCTTTATTATATTATACATTGTCTGTACATCTTGATAGACTTTACAATATCTCAATTTTCTATCTAACTACCCCATTCTCAATGTCTTAATTTTACTATTTATTTTCATTTCTTATATAACTTCATATTTCTTTTTTATGTTTTACATTTTATTCTGAGATTCCAATTGTAACACTTATGTCACCCTTTTTGATTATGCCTACTTCATCATTCCACACTTTGTAACGGTTATTATCATTTATCTCTTAGTTCTTAGTCATTATTCTAACAATTACATTTTACTTTATATTTATTTATTATTATTATTTTTTTTTTTATTTTTTTTTTTTACCATCACTACTTATGTTTCTCATGCCTTGTTATCTGGTTATTTTCTTAGCCCTGGTGAAGGCCTGAACTTCAGATCGAAACGTCGGCATATGTAAAAATAAATATTATCATTTATTTTTGCCTTCCTTTTTGACTGACCACCCCAACTATTCTTCTCTTCATTATCCACGACAGTCAACCAATTACCAATTATTTTATTTATTGTATTATACCTTTTGATTATCATTTAAAAGCTAAAATAAAGACAGATACCTTCTAATGTAACTCCTTACTCTTGTCACTTTCAACTTGATGAGGCTGCATATAGTGACCGCTGGAAACTCGAACTCCATCAGGTTCGTTCTGGAATTAACCTCAACCAGTTGCAAGGGGTACGAGCGGTACTGAACCCAGGACACCCAGACTTGGTCAGCGGTCAAACATGTAGATACGATGATGATGACGAGCCAGAATATTCTGAAAATTTAGTTTCTTAAATAATTTGAACTAATATTGTATATTAACTAGGTCTACAACCATAAGTTTGATAGTTTTCTTGTGCTGAGAAACAGACATAAATTTTGTTTTAAACGAATCATTCAAAATATTTTTTTTTTTTTTTTTAATTATTTCAATGGAATTTACAACTGTATTACATAGAGAATACAATAAGTAAATGAGAAATTTGTAACATGGCATGTACAACATGAAGAGAAACTACCCATTGGTAGAACTCAAATTAAAGTTCTATATTAGAAGATCCCGAGGCCATCTTCTTTTCAGACGCCTCGGAGGGTTATCAGGGATCGAGGAGGAAGCAAGGTTTGAAACGAGAGGATTCGGATGATTCTGCAGTTTGTTATGGAAGGAAAGGTATCTGGATTGGGCCAGATCGGAAACTTATGGAACATTAAGGTCTTTATGGATGATTTTATTTGTGACAAAGTAAGGAGCGTTGAGGATTTTACGAAGGATTTTGGATTGTAAGGATTGGATACGAGAGGAATTCGATGGTTTAGTGGAGCCCCAAAGCTCAATTCCGTAAGTCCAAATAGGTCTTATTATTGTCATATATACGACTCGTTTATAATTGATTGAAAGCTTAGATCGTTTGTCTAGTAAGTGCTGCAGTAGTCGAAAACGTCGGGCGGTTTCTAGTCGTTTCAGTCTGGTATGGGGGTTCATTCAAAATAAAAGCTACGTAATTGTTTGGAAGTGGATAATATTTACTTTTTTTTAACCGTACATGAAAACTATGAGTCCTCTAAGCATTGGAAAATAAATCGTTTCGGTTTTTCTGTTTTATTTTTATATCACTATGATACACTTAAAATCTGATGAATTAATTCCTAAGGTGGATTGTTTATCCTGTTCGTGATATATCAACAACTATATCTGCTAACTCTTGTTGAAACTAGCTTAGTATCGTGTTTGCTATTGCACTGTGAATATGGAAGAACATATCATTCATTATTTGCATATGTTGTTATATTATTTTAAAAAACGTTAGAGTGCTGTAGAAGCTCGTACAAGAATTTGTAGTGTTTATTGGGATGGTGCCTTAACCGAATACACCAGTCAAAATTGGTTTGGCAAATCTTGACTTTGAAACGAGTAATGTTAAGGCCAATGTTGATCAAAATCCCAACTAATCAGTTCGAGAGATTGCTATGGCCCTAAATGTTTACACAAGCGTAGTAAACCATTTGCACAAGCTCGGTTTTGGTTCCAAGCCATACAAGAGCAAGAGTTTTTGACTACAAGAGTTCACTCCAGGCCTCCTGGCAAGAGTGTGACTGCAAGAGCGATCAGTCTAGACGATTATGGGGTTTATATACTCAGGAATGGTAAGGGGATGAAGGAAAGTTCGAAGAGTACTCCAAAGGAAGCGTGGGAGAAAAGTTATTAACTATTAAGGATATGTATCCTTATCTTTTAGAATTGATTCAAAGTCTGTGAGACAGAGATCTTTTGCTGAAATCTGTTATTGTTCCCTAAGTCTTGATAATGGGTCTTGTGTATAGTCGGTACATTCTAGATAATCTACGATATTTAATTTCTTCTCAATGGCCATTTTTTTAAGAACCAGCAAATTGTGATGTAAACAACTGTAAGTTACAGTGAAGATTGTGTCGTTGCCGAAAAAAAATAAAAAAATACCAAATAGAAGGTGGTCATGTGAATCCGGACTGTATAAAGCGTTTTGTGCATAGGCTATAGTATCAATTAGCTTTATTAATAAACTAAAATTAATATTTCTCATATTTTTCATTTATTTTTATTTTTTTTTATTTCTAATTAGTTTCTCTGTCGTGTGTTTGGGAATGTAATATTGAACGGCCGTAAAAACAATCGAAAACTCCTGGCAAATGAAAAATGAGCTTGACTGGAAAACAGCTAGCATGCCATTTATAGTATGTAGGTACACCATTCGAGTATTCCCTATAATGGAAGAAAACATGTTTTACAAATTTTAATTAATCTTTTTTCTAATATTGTGAAACATATTTCATTCCTATCTTGATTAGATCATTATTAACTAAGTTATGGGAGTTACTACAATAAATTTGACTGTTTTTATCTATTTAATCGCTGTTTTTCAAAGTAACTTAAAAGCTATAAGTTAGAAGTAATGGTTTTAAAAGGTTATTTGTCAGAAAATACAATCAAAAGAGTTACATAGAGTATAATATGATATTATATTATATAATAAATATAATGTCATACCAGACTGAAAAGACAACAAACCGCTCGACGTTTCGGATTACTTCAGCACTTAAGCAATTTCTTACTCGAGAAACGTTCTAAACTTCCAATTAATTCCAAAAGACTCATATACATGCCTATAATAAGGCCTATTTGGACCTTACAATCCAAAATCCTTCATAAAATCCTCAATGCTCCCTACTTTGTTACATATAAAAAAATCCATAATGTCCTTAATGTTTCTTATGTTTCAGATCTGGCCCAATCCAGATACTTATCATTCCATAATAATCTTCAGAATTATCCCAACCCTCTCGTATATAACCTCGCTTCCTCTTCAATTCCTGATAACCCTCCAAGGCGTCTGAAAAGAAGATGGCCCAGTGATCTCCTAATGTAGACATATCTTTAAAGTGCTACCATTGGATAGTTACTCAACAAGTGTTTTCACGTCATTATATCCAGATGTTCAAATTTACTAGATGTATTTCTTTAATACATATGTAAACATCATTAAGAAACAATAATATATATATAATGTTTATAGAACAAAAATTATGCAGTTTTTTCGTCTTCTATATTTTTTTTGTTTTTGTTCTTACATGCTTTTGCAGTATAGCAGTAAATATAAAATAAAGATAATAAGGAATTTCTAAAAGTTTATCCTTGAAGAACACTGTTAGTTAAATGTTTGGTACCTTTCGACTAGCGGTCGCTTTGGAGTTGTTGCTAGTTTGATCCCGTGTATGGTTGCATTGGAACAATATTCACACCATAGCTTGTCCATAGCCATGAAAATGAACTGCTGGAGAGTGATTAAAAGCTCAATAGATCAATAAGGATTGAAATGATGAATATTTAAACAAAGATTTGTTATCTTTCTCTAAGTTAGAGCTCCATTATGCGACCCGCCTTTTGACATAATTTTATACAATCGCGGTATCTTTTTGTAGGATCTTGTAGCGCTAAAAGGTTTTATTTTATACAAGCATTAAGGATAAGTCGACAGCCACACTGCAAAAGCCTCAAAGGACAATATCTTTGGAAAATGAGGTTTTGAGCTTTTCTGATCAGTCTTGTCCTGGCCCATATTCTGATCTCACAAAATAAAATCTATAATGTTTCAGTTCTTCCCTATGGCCTTTTGTAAAAACCTGTATCTTAAAAACGGAAAATTGTGATGTAAAAAAAAACTGTAAGTTAGAGTAAAGTTTATAGGGATTGTATCTTCACTGAGCACTGCTTAACATGAAAGTAGACGAAGCAAAAAAGAAAATGGTAAGTGAGAACTTCAATATGCCTTCAAAACCATCCACACATCCTGACTAGTGTTGCCAAAATAGTCACTTAGCAAGACCAGGACCAAGGCCAAAATAAATAAAAATTGAGGCAAAATAGTTACAGATACTCAACAATGTTTTTTACTATACGTTAATAATTGGTATAACCAATATAATTTTGCATTTAACCCTTTAATTTTTTATTTAGACATAGTTATGTTTCTCTAATTTAAAAAATTACAGTAACATCTCTATAGTAATTAGCTAATAAGTAACTACGAGACTGTCGCGAGACTCTTGCGCAAGACCAAGACTGAGTTTGCAATAACTCCTGACAACTGCAAAATGAGCATGGCTGGAAAAAAAATCTAAAATGCCGCCGAATTCCAGATGGTGAGATTCATAGAATTAATTTCATTAATTGGAAAATTTAATACTAGACGAAAAAGTAACTCTGTAAACCAATGAATCTTCAAAATCACCAGAAGCTCAGAAACGAAGTGATTTAAACATCAGCAGGTTACCCAAAACTTACCAAGCATTCGTGAATCAAACCTGAAGTTGAATACGTTAAAACAGAATTTTTCAAAGACCAGTCCAAAATAGAGCGCATGTACTCCGTTCGATCAGCCAATACATAGAGTTACAAGTGGAAGACAAAATGTGACGTGTGATCGAATACTCGCTTTCCAGTCAATTTTTTTATAAATTTTCTGTTGAAGTATAGTTTCTCTACATTTTAGAAACAGACTTTGTTCTCGTCATGCTTTGATCATTAATTACAAAGCAATGGGCTTTACTACATTATCTAATACGTAAGCAATGCTTTGACTTATCTAATACGTGTTTTTCAAAGTTATTAAAAAGCTGTAAATTAGAAGTAATTTACTAAAAGATTATTTGGCAGAAATACGGTCAAAAAAGCTACATAGAGAGACTACATTTTTGTCTTAGGTCTTCAAAATAATTTAACAGAAAATATAATCCACATAGAACAAAAATTACGCAGTTTTTTCTTCTCCTGAAAATGTTTAATTTTTGTTCTTACAGGATTTTTCAATGTAGCTGTCGATATATTAGTAAATCAATAAACAAACACATTTTGTTGACACATCTTAATTTTCTTACTTGTAATTTTTTTTTTTTTTATCCATCTGTTTATTGAGTAATAATACATTTTGCCACACTTAAGGGCACTGAGTATTAAGGCTGAGAGAGGCACATTCATACCATATATACAATACATAAAAAAAATAAAATAATAATAAATAAGTAAATAAATAAAAAAATAAAAAATATAAAAAAATATAAAAATCTATATAACAAAGGCAAAAACTATAATAAACTAGGAAATGTAACTAAGAGTTAAAATTAAATGAAATACAGAAATTCGTAGCAAAATTAAATAAATTATAAGTAATAGAAATAAATAGAAAAACATTCATACTTAAACTTGTTATTAAATTACACTTTTAATCTTTTATAAAACTACAAACAGAGAATCTTGCACCGCCCATCAAAAACAACAAGTTTTATGGAGTACAAGCTGGTTTAGCAAACATTTAGGAAATATTATTGCTAAATGTTAAACTGTACAGATATTTAACAGTCAGTCAATGTAATTACTTCCATACTTACTGTTGCAGGAACAGACGTACCTTTATTATATTGTTTATAAGAATAAATATGTTTTATTAATGTCGCTTATTAATTGAATATTATAGAGAAGAAAAGGATTATCTCCTACAAACTAATTAGATAGCTTCATCTAGAGTATGTTAGTAGTTTGTAAAGTTGTTTAGACGTGTTTTTAGTTTGACAAGATTTTGGGATATATTACTAAATACTACTTCAAAGGGAACCCATATAATAATAAAAAAAAATGGAGCACCAACACTCTAAACTTTCAACTAACTATTAACGACTCATTTACTTTGTTATAATAAGGCATATTTAGACTTAGGGAGTTATACTTTTGAGTTGCGCTAGATCATATAATTCATCTTATATCCAATCCGTGCAATCCAAAATCCTTAATTCTTCTTATATTGTCATAAATAAAATTATCCATAATGAACTTAATGTCATATATGTAGCCAATTTTTTCCAATTGAGATACATATCCTTTCATAATAATCTTCAGGCTCAGCCAACGCCACTAGTTTGTATCTTTTTATCTTTTTCAGGTGTCTAAAAATGATATGGTCTCAGGATCTTCTAATGTATAACCATAACTGTAGTGATACCAATGGGTAGTTTCTCTACAAATTATGTAATTATAGATGTTCACTATTTTATTTGTTTAATCTTTAGTTAACACTGTTGTAAATTTCAATAAGTAAAAAATATATTAAGGACTGAAACGAAGGACACATTTATAATGCAAAGTACACTACGGTCCATGTCCGATGATTTATTAAAAGGATGTTTAATTTTCTGAAATGCCTTGCATCATAAATTATATTATTTTTCGTGCCAGGGACAAGGTCATTTTTTTCGCTCTGTAGTTGAATATGTACATAATTTGAAATAGAAAGTAATTAATTGACTTTTAATTAGTGATAACGTTTCGACGATCAATTATTACAATCCTCATCTAGTAGCAGTAATTGGAACATTAATAAGAAAGTGTTGTTGTCAGTAAGAGTTTATAAAAGGGAGGGTTTTTACATGGAGAAATGTTCAGTTGAGTTCTAGGACCCGACGAACAATGGTATATCGAGATGCCATCACAGACGAAGATATCCTTGATGGCCTTGATGTAAGATATCTAAAATTCTTCGGACTATGGAAGATAATCAACGATTACAGAACTACTGGAAAGAAAAATGCTATCGTGAAATTTCACCTTCTTCTTACCATTCTTGTTTCAGTCCCTTATGTATTCTTGCAATATCTGAGCTATTTCTTCATCGATGTTGATATGCAGAAAGCGACTTATCTGAATGTGAATACATTACCGGCTATCCAAGCTTGCTGCAAGGTCCTGGTTTTGTGGTTGAGGCTCGAGAGTGTTTGCAAGTTTTCTGATCTCATGAGGAAGGACTATCTTCAAATATCTGAAGAGAATAGAGTTGCAGCAAGTGAAATATCCAAGGGGATAACTTCCAAGTCGAACATACTTTACAAAACAGCTCTGTGTATGAATGCTAGTTCGGCGATTGTATATCTGCTAAGTCCTGGAATATCTGTGGATTACATACTTTACCATACTGGAAATATGGCTGCCGTTACTACAGGAAGAAAAAAACATCTCGCAGCGTGGTATCCCCTACCTATCGATAAATCGCCATATTTTGAAATAGTTTTTGCCTTCGAAGCATTACTCATATCATGGGATGCTATAATTCTTGTTGTGTATATTTGTATGTATTATCAATTTTTAACATGTCTCTACGCGCAATTTACCTTACTCGGTCTTCAAATGTCATCCTTAAAGAATGAAAATGATAAAAGTACATATGACAAACTACGTGAAACTCTGAAAAGCCACAAGGAACTCTTGAGGTATTTATAACAAAAAAAATATATTTAAATTAACTTATTATCCAAATACATCAAGATAGAAAAAACTTCAAATATAATTAAGTGTATATATTCAATTATCCTAATTGAAAATGGTAAAGCCCGCCAACATCACTCCAAATGGAACGCTTAGATGGAGCGACAGATTGGAGTGGTAGGCTTTAATAATTAGTGTTGCCCAAAATCGGTCTTGGTCTTGCGCTTTGCAAGATCAAGACCAACACCACCTAACTGTTGCAAGACCAAGACCAGGTATGGTAAAAAAAATCAAATTTTGTAATAAAAATTAAGGCAAAATATTTACTAATACTTGACAATCTTAATTACAATATAATAATTGGTATAACCAATATACTTTTGCATTTAACTCCTCTTCCTTTTTTTTTTTCATTTTTTCATTCGGGCTTAGTTAGGTTTCTCCTATCTAAAAAATACCGTAATATCTCTATTGTAATATGCTAATAAGTAATAGCAATACTGTTGCGAAACTCTTGAGCAAGACCAATACCAAGACTCATTTTTCAAGACTAAGACTCGTCTCCATCTCGCATTTGGGCAGCATTACTACTAACGTTCATTTCTCTCCGTCCTTATATTTTTACCTCTTAAAAGCCATTTTTAAAGTATTTGTAACACATAAAGATTATGATTGATCATATTTTCTTCTCGAATAAAATGGAATAACTTTATAAATATCTATATAATTATATAATATCTGCGAATATACGAAATATAACTCTTAATGGAGGAAGGAGATGGTCCGGGGTGACGGTCATCAATAGACTCAAATAGTGGCAAAACTATTATATTAAAAGCCAACGTTAAGAATCGACTTAGCAGGCCAGGAAAATTTGATGAGCAAGGAGTTTTAGTTAAGACTGGTCTTAACTAAAAATATATTAGTATAATATTTTTTAAACAAATATAAAACACCAGGACGCGAACTCGTACATTTTAATCTCTTATAATTCCGGTTATCTGGATGCTGGACAACTCGCGTTACTCTATTCGGCCACCTTTACCCCGGAAAAGCTGTAAATAACAAATATATATATACATAAAAAGATGAAATATTTCCAGAAATAAAACCATGAGTTTTAGTGCCCTTTCTGAGTATCTCCATTCCAGTGCGCCTGGGAGAGAAGCACTGGGATCTCTTAGGTTCTTGCCTTATCTTCCAGACGTGGGGGAAAGGGCACGTCTTTGAGCTCCCTCGGCTGACTGTGAATATTGTAAATAAGCATGAATGTTTTTTTTTTTTCCTTATTTATTTATTTTTTTATTTGTGTTGTATCAAGTTGTATTTCATCTGTTTTACTAAGCTTTCTTTTTCTTCCTTTTTTTATAATTTCTATTATTTTTGTAATTGTGTATATTATATGAATGAGTCTCACGTCTCAAATACCCAATGACCTTGTTCGAGACGAAATGTATTTCTTTTCAATAAAGTAAGATTATTAAAAAAAAGGAAAGAAATAAATCAACAAATTTGAACAATAAGTTCTACTTCATTTTCCTTTTCACCTGCGATAGCGCATTTTCTCGGAAATAACCATTATTTTAAAATTATGAACATAAGAAATTTCAAAATAAGGTTTTTGTTTCTATAAAATGACCTGAAGAGCTGAAACTTTGGTATAAGTAAAAATATATTAGGACTTAAAGATCAAATATGCTGTTCGATATTAAAAAAATACTTAAATTCTGAGCAACTATAGAAAACATATGCATATTAATAAAAGTAATAGTAAAAAGTGTAAATGTTGTAATCAAATCTTATCATCACATAAAATGAAACTTAATTGCTTTCCTTAAAGATAAATAAGAAAAAGTTAAAAAAAAAAATTCACCTTTTAATTGGTTACGCAGTTGTATTTAAATATTGTATATTATATAAAAATATTAATTTTTAAAATAAAAAATAACGTTCATACGTAGAATTTAATTTGTTTGCATTTTTTTCTTAAGAAATTAATAGTGTTCTTTATATGTATACATATTTATCGATCCTTATATATAATATGGTTGTATTTTGCAGTGTAGAACTCTGTATCACATATATATGATACAATAGGTAAGAAACAAAAGAACATTAATTATTTATCTATTATATGACAATATAATAGATAAGTATATACATCAGAATAGTTTAAAATAAACTTTGAATTAAAATATTTAATACCCTGAGTAATTTTTGTTTGTACCACTTACAGTTACACAAACGAATTAAAGACAGTTTACAACCCTTTGGTGACGATGATTTTAGGAATTGGGATATTTGTTCTAATAATGTCAGTTTTCCAGTTTTTATTCGTAAGTAGCCTATTTTTGTTTCTAATATTTAACATATATATATATATATATATATATATATATATATATATATATATATATATATATATATATATATATGTGTGTGTGTGTGTGTGTGTGTGTGTGTAAGCAGTAATTGTACGATTTAGTAGGTTAGGTAGGCCGGCGTTTCAATCCAAGCATTTGAAACATCAGGACAGAAAATTAAAAAAAAAATAAACCTGTAAAATAAGATATAGATAGAAGTATGTAAATAAAACAATATAAAAATAAGGAAAGGACCGATGAGATAATATTAATGAAATTAAAATAGTACCTAAAATGAAATAAATAAGTAAAATTTAAAAAAATAATAATCTAAACGGTTAGTATAATATATTATAAGTTTATATCCGAAACCGACGGTTTTTTTTTTTCATTAATGTCATGAAATTTATATATTTAATACATTGCAAAAATAAATAATTTATCAAAATCTTTTTAAACCGTTTTGTTCGAAATGAAACGGGAGCTCTTCTGAAACATGTGAATTCCATATACCAAAGTTGTATATATATAAATGAAAAGAAGTGAGTATTTAATTTTTTTTTTTTTTTTTTGAAATGGCAGGATACAAATTGCAAAACTGACGTTCGTGAAAATTAAACTCGATATTTTTTTATATTTTAAAATTAATTCCTTATGTTTATTTATTATCCTTATGTTATCCCCTAGAAAATGCGCTATCGTAGGTGAAAGGGAAAATGAAGTAGAACTTACAGTTCAATTTTTTTGTATAACTGACATTTGTGGACCTTAAACACGATATTGCTACGGATCAGAGCAACCAGCAACTACATACAGTTACAATGTTCAGATATTTTGCTAAAAATGAAGAATCATTGGTTTAAATTTTCAGAATTTTAAAATTATTAGTTATCTTTAAGTACGAAGAATAAATAAAAATTATTTATTTAATATAATCCACTTTTCAATTAATATAATAATAATAGAAGTACCAGTTGTCTATCGTACCAATTTCAAGTCAATTTTTTTTTTCACCCGCTAGTAATAGTTACTTTTTTAACCTGCTATATTTACATAATTCTATCCTTATCATATTTTTCTGATGTATTATTTTGTCATTTTTGACCCTGATGATGACCATTATGCTTGGATCCAGAGGTCAGAAAACTTAATCACATAAAAACTATATACTCTGATTTTCTATCATCTTCACAATTTTAACAGTAAACTCAATATACATTTATGAATTGTTTAATATATATATATATATATATATATATATATATATATATATATATATATTATATATATATATATATATATATATATATATATATATATATATATATATATATATATATATATATATTTCATTAATTTCCTAAAATTAATTTAGGGTAAAACGGGGGATCCAATGGTGATTATAAAGTCTCTGCAATTTTTGGGCTTTCACGGGCTGGAAGTTTCGATGTTCTGTTTTGGTTCTTCAGCTATCGAGAGTGCAGTGAGTTTATATGTATTTTTTTTTTTACTTTTTCGTTCTGTATCGACCAAATGATATTCTTTTAGTATTATTAATTTAACCTGATTTCCCATTTGTGGCGGGACAGTCCCGATTGTTACCAATTTGTCCCGCATCATCAAATTATTCACTCATAAAAGCCTTTAGAAATAAATTATCAATATTGTTTCTGTTGAATATTATGTTACCTGATTATATTTGCATCAGATTATCATGGTTTGGTCCAGATTTATAATAAAGTATATATTTTATAATTTATTATTTAATCAGAATAAGTTAAAAGATGTACTATTTCCATGATGCATATCGGATGCCTTATAACTGATATAAATCTGTTTTTATCTGTTTCACAGAGTTCTGAAATAGACTTCGCTATCTACAGCAGTGATTGGTCCAATTGTGATATTAAGTTCAAAATGGCCGTGCAGATGGTGATGATAAAAGCACAGAAAGGATTGACTCTTACAGCAATCAGGATGGTTCCTATAAACCTAGAAACCATGGTCTCTGTAAGTATAATATTTATGCACAATCTATTACATTATATGTATTAACTCGAACTCTAGTCTCAAAAAAAAAAAAAAAAAAAAAAAAAAAATATATATATATATATATATATATATATATATATATATATATATATATATATATATATATATACATATATTCCTATCATTTTATTTTCAGAGTATATTTTTATTTTTTTGCTGTTTAGGTGTATATCAGTTTTTCCTATTTTTTTCTTCTATTGTAGTATTAAGTTAATTGTAAAACGATTATCGTAATACTACTACAAGGAATGTTTTAGAACTATGAATTAAAACATAACCTTCATATTACCAATTTATTAAAATAAATTAAGATTTATGTCTATATTATGTTTAAATATAGGATATTAATGTTTCAGATCTTCAAGTTCACGTATTCTACAGCTGCTTTTATGTCAAGAATGACGGAATAGAATTTTTTCGTATCATCATTTGTATTGTTATGTAATTAATTATATTATGTACACTGAGATATCATATCAATATTCACATAGATACAAGTAGATTTAAAAAAAGCAAAATTAATAAATATCAATCTAAAAGATTATTTTTAGTTTTTGTTTTACATAAATTTTATTTTACCTTTAAATGAGTAAAGTATGTAAAACTTTGATTTCATCGGCATTTAAACTGTATAAAAAAAAAATGTCATACGCACATTACACAACTATCATTTATCGCACTTTACTTTGTGTAGCAATTAATTTCAGACAAAATTAGGTTATAACAAAAAATACATTTTACCGGTGTTAAACCTTAAATAATACGGTTGTGAATTTTGGTCATATTTATGAACCCACTTAACTCCAACCTCTGAGCTCTACACATTTGGATATTCTTTTATTTTTTAATCCTCTTTTACATTATCCATTTATCTTCCCTTCGATCTTCCTCTAGACTTACCTCCATCTGGCTTCCTGTGATAAGTACTTGTACCCATTTTATATACATAACCACGAGCGGCTCTACAAGGGGCTTTCTGGCTGTAGCCCTCCACCAAAAAAAATGGTGAAATATAACCATGTTTTATGAAAAAAAAAAATCTCTAAAAGTATTATTGTTCGTCTAATTACAATAAATAGGACTTAAAGAATCACTTAAAGGCCATTTCATATAGGTAGTTAGTTTCTTTCTTTTTTCCTAAGTAATTATCCTGATATATTTATATAACAAAAAAAAATCTTTCGGACTGAAGCACCCCAAAATTAAATCCTGGATCCGTTAATATAAGTAACATAAGTAAAAATAACAAAACATGATAAAAGTAAGGATTATATTGCACAACGTAATAAAAATATCCTGTACCAGGGTACTAAAAATAATATCAGCTAAATCTGTACCACTTTATACATATCTTTAAATTCTAATATTTTTCTATTTTGAAATTTACTATGGAGTTATCAGGTTTTGATAATCTTTCATCGATGTTTATTACTACTAATAATGAGAAGCAGTTAATTATTTAAAACAAATTAAATTAAAGGTACTTTAAGAGAAATTTAGGTACTATCAGAAACAATTTTGAGGATATGGTCCTAGTTGATATTAAAGACCTTTCGTTATAGCAGTTTTCGTAAAAATTATAAAAAATGTGTAAAATCGACGATGTATGTGTAAACAGGCACTTATGGTGAATCAATTTTAGTGAAATATTTGCTATAGAATATACATACTAGGCATACACCAATCTTAAATACGTAATTTCAGTTTCGTGCCTGTTTTCGTTTTTGAACTTGGCTGTTCAAATACACACAGAGTCTATTTTGTATGGCTTGGTTATTTAGATTCATTGGACCTTTGATTTTGTTGTTGTTTGTCTTTATCAGGGTGTAGTTTGAAAAGTATATAAAAGGTATAATTTGTAGGTTGTAGAATATAGCCAGTTAAGAAAAACTATTATTTCAGCTTTGTTTTTTGAGAAGATTTTTACCAATCGTTGGCCATGTTGTATGTCAGTTACAGTAAGCCAAAGTGTGCAACCAATATTTATCTTTATTTTTCTACCGCCTGTGTATGTATTTTGTTCACAATTAGTAACCTATTGTTTCTTTTAATCATTGAATTCCCGAAAATATTTGTAAATTATCAAATTAAACCTTCTTCGAATTATGATACTCATTAAGAAAATTTAGATAGTTTCAGAAAATACCAATACTGATAATTTATAATTATTCTCTAACACGTAAGTGAAGAAATCGGATGCGTTTGCGTGAGTGAGGTGAGAGCAGAGAAAGTAATAAATGATAAATAATATGACATCTGCAATTTGTATATTGAGGTTAATGATGTGGGTAACTTTCTTCAAGTTGATGATCAAAAATGGGTCGACACGCATTTTACTAATCCCGGTTCCTTAAAACTAGTTGGATCGTGCGAATAATTCACGTAATATATTGGTCAGCAAGGAATAGTGTTGCCCGAATAGGAGACCAAGACGAGTCTTGGTCTTGCAAACTCATTCTTGGTCATGGTATTGGTCTTGTGCAAGAGTCTGGCAACAATCTTCCAGTTGCACATTAGCTTATTACTATAGAAATATTACTGTAATATTTTAGATAGGAGAAACCTAACTAAGCCCGAATCAAAAATTAGATGAGTTAAATGCAAAAGTATATTGGTTATACCAATTATTAGCATATAGTAAGTAAGATTGTCAAGTAGTAGTAAATATTTTGCCTTAATTTATATTTTAAAAACCAATTTTTTTTACTCGTCCTGGTCTTGGCCTGTCAAAGTACAAGACCAAGACCAATTTTGGACAACAACAACAGCAATATAATAAAGAGCTAAGTAAATTCAATGTATTATATGAGTTCAGTATCTATCAAAATAATAAAAAGACGTGTTCTAATTAGGTTAAATGCGCTAGTAGCTGAAATGCATAACTATTTCTTACCTTGCCAAGACATATTTTAAATTCATAAAACATTCGTCTAAATTTAAAAACAAATGAAAATTAAGAGAATAATTTTGTTGTACCAGTAGCTTGATTTGGAATGTTCCTACAGCTGACAGGGATGAGAAAAAGGATATAATTAATCTAAATCTTAATTTAACTTATTATGAAACTAACTTCTTGAATTTTCCGACATAAATTTATCAATAAATGTTGGCCACTATCAAGAACTATTTTTTGGTAATATAAAATCATATTTAATCCAAGTCATTAGCAAATTTTTTTTTAACCTGACATTAATGAATGATCCCATATTTAAGACCCATTATATTGAATATATCATTTGGAAAATTTACGAAAGTATAGGCCTGTCAACTACTGGCAAAAATCCCCATTATAAGGCTATAGTAGATGACACCCATTGTATATCAAATTTATACATCAAGATATGTTAAAAACATAATTTAAAAACACTTGAACAAACATTTTGGGACAAATCAGAGTAATTGAAGAGAAATAAGCAAACCTAAGGTATGATGCTCTTATTGACAGATTGTTGTTCCTGGGACACTAAGTGGACCGTGAGGGACATCATTATTTAGGTTGCGGTTTCCGAAAAGACTAAAGTAGACAAATATAGAAGTATAAAATATAGAAACTAAAAATAAATAAAATAGAAGTCTAGGAGGTCCTGAAATTTTATTATTTCCATTTTTCGAGGAAGATGTCAGGCATTGAAACGAAATTTGAAATGAAAAAATAATTTTATTGTGTTACTAAAGTCTTCTAAGAATAATGATAACATGGTACAATATATTGGTACATTAGTCGGGTTTGACAGAATACAAAGAGGTCATTTGAGTGTTAATTTCAATTGTTATCTTAATCATACCTGAATAGCAATAGTCAATGCTTTAACACTAGTACATTTAATGTAGTTTACATCTACACAAAAAAAAAATTGCTGTATTTTTATAAAGTATATCAGTACACAGTCAACTATTGGTGATTTTACTCTCCAATGGAGTAGTAGGATTTCTATGTAAAAACAATGCAAATTATTACATAATGGTTTATTATTTGCAAACAGTTATATATCACATGTAACACTACTTTCCTTGTGACACAGAGAAAAATAAATAAAAAGCGATTTATAATAACGACTTAAATATTTTTTTTTCATCATAAGATTGCTTCACTTGATATAAGACTTTTCAAAAAACAAAAACCGAAATAAAAGATTAGCTTTGCAGCAATATGCAAAATATATGAAAGCGTAACTCCCAAATGCATGACTTAAACTGCATATTTATACATATAATAAAGTTATGTTATATAGACTATTTCACCCTCTCTCTTTCACAACTGAAATTAATTAACTGATTAAAGCCTAGTTCTCAAAAATCTTTATGAATGAATAAGATATGTAAACTAAAATCAATTAAGAAAAAAGGAAAATATGACTAGGTGCCTAAGCTAAGGATTGGACATAGGTATGCAATTATACACTCTATGATTTTATTATTGAAATTTTAGTTTGTATTTAAAAATTTTATGATTCATTCATGTATACCCTTTCATTTTTATGTGGAGATTTTATTACATTACCTGTAGCAAATTTGAAGCATCGGAAAATTGAGAGTTCACTCCACTGCCCCAAACCTTAAAATAAAAATATTCGATTAGTTTGTAAACATATTATCAATTATACCCATAAGTAAAAATAAAACTACTTCCAGACAAGTATACTGCAATTTTAATGCCACAAGATATAAATCTTCACCTCAAAAAATAAATAAATCATAGCTGACAATCTATTTGGAAATTGAGTCCACCAAGCAAATTAACAGATATTATAAAAAAAAAAAATAAAGCCAAGGTCAACATCAAATCGTTAAATCCGCAGAGAAGAGGTTGTCTTAACCAGACTGAGAATAGACCACACCAATCTTACCCATTCGCATTTTATTACCAAACAGCCACAACTACAATGGCAACACTGCAATAAAACACTTGCAGTCAGCCACATTTTACAGGAGTGTCCATTTTACGTATCTGGTCTAACTAGTTTAGGACTTACATCTCCAAAAGCAAACAATTTGAGCAAATATATATTAATTATAATATGATATATATATATTATATTAAGATTTATGTATAGCTTCGTAAGATTTGTAATTGGGACCCAGAGACGCCCCCGTGTCTCCCACCACTACACTGAGTTAGGGCGGCTCTTCCCCTCCTTAAGAAGACAATATTTCCTAGGCACATTTTTTTATCAAACATTACCGATAATCGTCCTTCTTTTGCCTACAACTTTCTCCAATTTAAGTCCTCAATCCATTCCCTCACTACAAGATCTCGACTCTCTGACCTATACATCCCTTCTCATAGATCTGCCTCATTCCAAAACTCCTTTATAGCCCGCTCTGTCAACTTTTAGAATTCCCTCCCGATCAAAATTCGGCATGCCCCCTCCCTATACATAATCAAAAACCTCCTATTCCAATTCCTGTTCCAAAAACAGTCAGATACCAGCTAACTATTAATACTATATATGTATTGTGTAGCAATCATATTATCATATGATAATACTTGGTAAGAGATAGTACATGCATTTCCTACTATCGAAGTAGGAATT